AAAAGTACTCCAGAGTGTTGTTCAGCATGGGGGTGAGTAGAAAATGAAGGCTAATCATGTTTTGGGTGTACTATTCCTTTAAGTCCTGGTCCTTGGGGCCGACAGACCTGCTTTTATCCCAGCCTCAATACACCTGACCTAAATAAATCAGATTAACAAGCCTCTCCAATCATTTAATTCAGGTGAGATGGAGCAGAGACACTCCACAAAAATACAGGACATTGGGTCCTAAGGACGAGGATTGAATAGTCCCTGCCTAAGAGGTTGCAATTCCTTAATTGAAGGAGAGATTAAACCAAATTAGCTCTGTTCCGTATGTGTTTGTGAACTGATTTCCTTTCCAACACAAACAATGAGCAAGTTGCAGTTGTCTTTTCACGCAGATGCACATATACCCACGTCTCCTTTGCTACTCCGCTGACTGAGAAGGAGAACAGGAACAAGGGAAGGACTGCAGCCAAGTACTCATGCGGATGCTTGTTTGATACTCAAATGTTGCGTGATGTAATTTAAGTTGTTTGCATCACCTTTGCTAGCGTTCCTAGTTTGTAGCAGCCATGCATTATGGGAAGTGAGTAGGTTGCAACTTAAAAAAACAACATTATTAGCCTAGGGGCAAAAGAAATAAAAACAACACAGCCGACCTTGGAAGCAAAAGTCTGATGATGAGAAAAAAAAAAAAAAAGAAATCAGTAAATGAAGTAAAATATTTGCCGAAAAGAATAAAAAAAATGTACTGTAAGTGAACTGAAAAGCACCAAACTGTGTGAATATTTCAGTGATTTACATAAATCACCAGATTGAATTACTTATCCTTGCCTGGCTTTAAAAGAAATAGTTAATAAAGGTGTTAAGGTTGCTCAGTGTCACAGTGGGTAGCACTGCTGCCTTGCAGCAAGAAGGTTCTGGGTTAGATTCCTGGCCCGGGGTCTTTCAGCATGGAGTTTGCACGTTCTCCCTGAGCATGCGTGGGTTCTCTCCGGGTACTCCGGCTTCCTCCCACAGTCCAAAAACATGACTGTCAGTTTAATTGAAAGGAGGTTTGATCCGTGATTTCTGGCTCCGTTCAAGTCTAAATGAAAAGCAGGCATTTGTCCATATATTGCTGAAAATAGTTCCAACTCTATGCTTTATTCACTTTGAACATCTTCTCTGATACCTCATATGGCTAAACATGAGTCCTCACAGTAAAAGCATCTGCATAGTATGTTTTGTTTCATTGATTAGAAAAAAAAATCCCGTTTTTGCGTTTCTGATTCTCCAGTCACTGATCTAGAAATGATAAAGATGATCATTAAATACTATTTAACAACCAGTTCATCTTCTGTTTTTCACTTTTTTAATGAACAAAAACAGGAAACATCTATAGTGATTGTTTCTATTGGAAGTGATTCTGTAGATGAAGCGCTTGACTTATCAGTTTTGTTCTCTGCATTTATCGTTGTTGTTTGTTCTTTTTGTCTTTGATCACAGTGTAATCCAGTAATGATTGATGCCAAGGAGGTGTCCGCTGCTCACCGCGCCCGTTACTTTTGGGGTAACCTTCCTGGCATGAACAGGTTAGTGGTTGGATTGTCAGGGAGGAGCAAAGGAAAGGATAAACGGGGGATAAATAGGGGCGGCCTATGTAGATATAAGTGTTTTAATAAAAGCAGGGAATAGAATTTCACAGAATATTAACTCAGATCTGTTTTTATTGGCTCTTATAGCTCTATCAAACTAAAGTGTTCTGGCTCATATGCAAAAACATGTTATATTTAACTTTAAGTTTGACTCCCAGATATGGAGACATGTGTTGCTATTTTAGTCGTAACACCTATAAAATGATCTCCCAACTGAGACAAAAAGCCGAAATGTGAATGATTCCCGTTACTTTATTCTCTGCAGACCTCTGTCCGCTATGTGCTCTGACAGGTTGGACCTCCAGGACTGTTTGGAGCACGGCAGAACAGCAAAGGTAAAGCTTTGAAAAAAACAAACAAATAATTCAGTGAAATATCGCTGTAGTGGTTGTCGAATCGTGGCCAAGCGGCATGTCTCTCCCTCTCTCTCATATTCCCCTTTCTGTCATCCCACTGTATAAAAAAACAAGTCACTAGTGCCATAAAAACCTAAAAAAAAAAACGATAAAACAGAAATTTGTTCAGAAAATATTAACTAGAAATTATTCAACAAGTTTGTTTATTTCTAAATTACTACTATTCTTATTCGATTTCTGCTGTACACAGTGCTTGCTACATGGTAAAGATGTTTAAAAAAAGACAATCAGCAAAGCTTCACACTATATCTATGATTGAATTTATTTTAATTTATTCAGTGGGGAAAAAAAATTCCTTCACTTTAGAAAATATATATATTTTTAACCAACTTAGCTTTTTATCAAATCAACGTTGGTACTGTTGTTGAAAATCCTGCTGTTGCTTGTAAAAATCTTAGTTTTTGTTATATTTTATAATTTCAAAGCATATAAAGAAATAAATATCAGACAATTCCTCTCTGCTTTAATCTCTATATATAATCTAGAGTCT